TATGATGTCTAAATCCATAAAATAGGAATAAATAAAATTGAGTGAGAGAAGTAACTTCTTCTTTCGATTTCTTTGTCTCCTCTTGTTAAATAATTAACGTAATTTTCATGTGGTTATGAATCCGATTTCATTTGTTGCAATAGATCGAAGTCTCCATTTAAGTATTTGCAACAATTGCGAGGAGACAATATGTTGGGAGAATAAGTTCGGAGCTTTATTAACGATTCTAGTTGTGAACGAGAGTTTTGCAGCGTTTAGTTTGTAACGTTTCACAACAAATTTAAAGGAATCATTCTGGCGGATTCTTTCATTGCTTGAGGAAAATTCGAAAAATTTCTCTACGTAGAGATCAACCTGACGTCGAATGATACTGTAGAGTTCAAGGATCGATGTAAATTCTTCGCAGTTCTAAAGGTCCAATTTCTAATATTGACAGTCTTTCCTGGTATTCGGACAGGTTATTGAATTTTGCACATTCCTCTTAAAAATGAAACATATACATCTTCCTCGAACATTTTTAATGGCATCAACGTAGCATCATTTATCACCGTATGGATTAGGAGAGGACTAAAGAGTAGAGGCATATTCTAGGATGGGCGAATTTAGGTTACGTGCTTCGCTTACTTAGTAGGGATAAGATATATATTCTCAATATGAGTGATCCTCTAGCGTTACCTTTTTCAACTATAGCGTTACCTTTCAATTATATTTTGAAATTCTAACAGAATTTCAAACCTACGTTGATTATAACGCTTTGAATGAGGGGAAATTAGTTCATAGTTCTAGATGTTGAGGGATTTTTCGTAACAATTCTGATCAATTTCGTTTATTCTGAGCTAGCGGTGAAGGCTAATTTGATGACTGTTGGTTTATGAAATTATATACAGTTTGTAAATTGATGGAGAACATTAAGGCATTAGAGTCATTCGTAAAAATGAAACACACTGGGCCCGGAAAACATATTTAATAAGAATAAGAAAGTGGAGGGGTGTTAGAACGGAACCTTGTGGAACACTACTGCTGATGTATTTCTACGAACTGAATGAATCATCAGCTCGCATTGACTGCAAGTGATTCGTAAGATAGCCTCTGATCTAATTGGATAGACAACACCGTATGCCATATGCTCGTAATTTTAGGGATAATTTAGGCAAGATTACCGATTCAAACGCTTTTTAAAAGTTGAAATATGCGGTATCGATGTGGCCTCCCTTACTGAATGACACCAAACATTTATACATCAAAGCAGAACTGCAGTGAATGATCTCCTTTCGAAAAAAGCGCACTGGGAATGGGAAAACAGTTCGTTCATTGTAAAATAGTTTCTTAGTTCGGCTGCTATTTTTTCTAGAACATCAAAAATTAAGCAGATTAATAAGATGAGATGGTAGTTTTGCGGATTCACTTTAGAATCTTTTCTACGTAAAGGTGTGATGAGCGTTGCTTTCCATCTAAGGGGATTGAGCTGGGCGTTACGATGAGATCGAAACGATCTACAATTTCAGAAGAAATACTCAGCGTGTTGATATTCTTAAAAAGAAATGAGAAAGTGTCATGTGGTCCATAGCCAGTGTTGAGTGTTTCTCATCTTTGAATTCTGTTGTCGCCGTTTGTTATTTTCTCATTGTTGAAGTTTGTTTTCCTTATTGACTGGTGCTTATTGTTGGAATGATTACCTGTTGTTGAATAATTCAATAAAAATTTTCAACTGCTTAATAGCATAATGAGATTTTTTCCTGAACAAACAAGCTGTACAATTGCAGATTCTGATGGAAGATTTGAAACTAGCGATTAGCTGACTAATTTTTGCTCAACAAGGTTTTAGCAAAAAATTCCGCTACTTCGGATCTTTTAGCGAAAATCAGCACTTTTAGCGAAATGTTCTCGCCACATTTTCGTTAGCCAACTGATAGTGGATTACTTTTATCGGAACAAGATTTTTTTTTCAGCCAATTAGCAATTAACGGAGTTACTTTTTTTTGATAGCCTGCCCATCACTGGTACGTAACGTTTGGGCTGATAGTACAGAATTTTTTGTAACTGAAAACATGGACACCCATAAAACTCTTAAACTCCTACAAAACTGATTTGCGGAACAGAAATGATGAAGATCACTCATCGGTCGTTAGTTTCTGAGTGCTCATCCATTTCAGTTACGTCATCGACTCTAAACCACGCACGTACTTGCCTAACGGAAAATATCTGGCTGTTAACAGTGGTTAGAAGCTGCAAACTAAAACCAAAAGATTCCCAGCTGTCACAGTAATAATGCAAAAATTGAATCAGCTGCAGTGCTCGAGTATTCTGACAGTTTGACAATGTTTGAACAATTCATTTCGATGAAACACTTCAGACGGCTAACACGCCAAAAGTACGGGCGAAAGAGCATTCAGAAGAGTAATCCAAGTAAAATAACTCAAAACATGCTTCACTATTATAAGGGCAGAACAGTGGAATTTTTATTGCAAGTGCAAATTGAACGTTCTGTTGCGTCGATGTAAGTCGAAGTTGCTTAGCAAGACACATGTGAAAGACCACGATACTATTCATCCAATTTGCAATTGTCGCAGCATTGCCATGTGATCATTACATTTTTATACAAATGTTCTGTGGCATCAAACAGTATGGTATACCTTATAGATATATACAAAAACATGCAAATACGAAATGATAATGACTGAAAAAAAATTCGAAAGCGATTGACTTAATAAAATAATACGCTCATATACGAAACGATTTCTTTGAATCAAACTCGTAAAAACAGTTCTGAATGAGTGATTTGAACGGATCACTTCAGCACCACAAATATCGGTGTAATTTCAGTACAAAACTCATCACAACGTATGTTACGTTTTGCTCAGCTATACGCTCAAAATCAAGCGAGTCTCATCGCTGGCAAATCATCTATTTCTACCTCAACTGCTCTCGTTTCATGGTGGCGAAGTTTACGAATCTGAACGTCGAATAAACAAAACTGCGCATTGTTCGAACTGGAAAACAATTTCTTGAAGAAAACAATGAATATTATACAAAACAATACTGCAAAAAAACAAACAAACAAATAAAGAGAACCGATAAATAATAAATCGATTAAGAGATTCAAACTAAAAACGTGATGCAATATAAGAAACGAAAAAAAAAATCCCAAAAATAAATGAACAAATGAATCACAGACGAGTTGAACTCCAAAAAGTATAAAACAACAACAATAGTGACAACAATTGTCGCGAACTCGCAACATTAGTTTGCGTTCTTTATTGCCATTCCATTTGTCTCCGTTCGCACTTTGGTTGCTAATGCACCTTTCACAACATATTCATTCTTGTAGCATGTGCATGCATGCACCACTTAAATCGTATGCATCATCCTTGTCTAATAATGCCACTGAATCTTACGTATCATTCTTACAAATGCATTCAAACCTCATATGTATCAACATCTACACAAATCTCTTTGTTTGTTTGTAACCTTCTCTCAATTGTTATCAACTTTACAAAACGTCTACTAATCGCGAATATCGTAAATTCTTCAGCCTACAAATCCAAACGCAGCAACAAAATCATTTCCCACAGCGGCACACAAAGAACGTCGCTTATTCATCGTTCTCGAACATTCCTTTGCCTATCCCAACTTCATCGTTTAATAAATTCATTTCTTTACTACTATCGTATAGCTGTTGCTATCGTCGTTATCCAAATCATCATAACTATCGTTAGTTTCTTGTTGAAATATTATTGTATTGTCCGCTATCCGACTGTGCACTTTTCTCAATTAAACGGATTCTAATTAGGGAAGTTGTTAAGCAAAGATAGCAACAACCACATACCATTAGACACTCCACATCAACAAACACAACTCGCAAAGCACTTCATTACAACAATAAAAGCAACAGCGCTATCAATATGAAACATAAGCAATTGTATGACTGATCGTCAGTCAAACCATTCGAATACAACCTTCAAGCAGCACAACTATCATTACAACGGATATGCAAATATCGGAGGTGACTGAAACACCATCGTCCACATAAAAAAATAATCTTTCCAATCCCAATTNACTACTCCGCAAACATTTCAAATCTTTCAATAATTAATAAGTGAAAGCAGGAAAAAAAAACTTTGAGGCCGACGTGACCGCATAATTTACATGAGGACCCATGAGGTAGGTGGGGAAGGTAAGAAACACAAAAATTTCTTCGCTTTTCAGCTGTAGAGAAAGAAATGGGAAAGAAAAAGCAGCAAAGTTGCTACAGCAATGCTAGCAATTAACAATATTGTTTTGAGCAAAGTAGTAGATTTGAACAAAGTTAATAGCACAATACTGTGAGATATCATCACGAATGCTCTCACACAACAAGCATTATATTGATAATCAGTGATCGTGTTCGCTTGAAACACGCTACACTGGAACAACAGCCAGTCACTGATCATGTTCGCTCATGTAAGCGAAATGCGTGAAAGAAATTAGAAAGAGAGTGGAAGAATGAAAGAACACCGATGGAAATTTGTAAACAAAAATACATTACAAAATGACAATTCAATTTAAAAAATTGATGCAAAAATCAGTCGACATGGAAGAACAAATGAAAAAATTGTAGAAGAAAGAAAAACGATAACCGCTGAATAATTTATAAGAAAGGCTCAAATTGCTTTCCAATCGAACACATCGTATATTTACACATCTCCTCTTCATCGATGAATGAACGAAACACGTAATTTCCGCGTCACACTCTATTCTGAGTCAGCACCTTCGTCATTATGTCTGCAATTAAAGCGGCGACATTTTCTTATTGTGAAAGCCAGCAGATGTGAACGATGAAAATATTTGAAGACTCATTAATCGCTATGATGAACTATTGTTTGCAAAGATAAGGATTATCAAGCAGACATGTACTACTGATATTTTTCAACATAACACTACGATGAACGCTGTAACTAGATGAGAGCTTGAATGTACCAGAGACGAACTGTAAATGAACAATCGGAAAACGACCATTATAATCACCTGTCATTACCATTGATGACAGCATTCTGAATATTGTTCGCTAAGCGATCGATCTGTTCATTTTCAATTTGCTGTCGCTGATGTTGCAGATCTCGCTGGCGTTCATGTATATCACCATAATCATTTTCTGAAAAACTCCGTTGAAATTTTCAACTTCACTCACCACCAAAGTCCACAATTAGAAGTGCAAATTAATAATAACAAAATTCAGCAGGTTCCATCGATTATCTACCATAAAACTGTGGAAATGCAAATACAATGTCAAACCATTCTCAGAAGGTACGTTAACGCTGCGGTTCAGCGGTGAGCTAGACGCTAGTGGAGCGACTGCTAACCGCGATCGATGTGAACATTCCGAGGCGGGTAAGCCATCCGAAAAAGTGCCATCAACTACTGGATTCAAAAAATCCCAAACGAGAATCGTATCATCATGTGATGATGAGACTATTTGAAACTCATCGAATTGCAACCGAAACACTCGACCCGTGTGCTCCTTGAACAGATATTTTTAGCTGCTCACCACAAACAATGATCAATAGAGGTGCTTCCATTCGTTATGCACATACACCATGAATATCAATTTATATATCAATATGTAAATGAATATCAATATGTAAAATATAATAACTTCAGATACAAAGACAACTACCCAACATGTACGTATAGAACTCACCACTAAGTTTCTAGAATATACACGTTCCGGAGGTGACTGCTGGTCAAGCGCGGCTTGCAAATCCCAAATTTTAATTTTTCTGAAATTCGAATTTCCATCATCAATTCATGCACCCAAACCATTCATAAGCACTGAATATCGCAGNTATTGGTCATTGAATACGCTGAAACAGATTTCACATCTTCATCAAGGGGATGAAAGTCGTTTAGTGAACAAACATAAACACAAGTCATGGAATGAAAGAGGAGGAAATAATAACTTACCCATCATAGGCTCCACTAACAATCCGTTTTGCATCGAAACGAATACAACGGACCAAGTCTTCGTGACCGGTTAATACTCGTAAACATGTACCCAGTTCGATATCCCATAATCTGCAAGTACCAATAACATGACAATCGCTTCAACTCACCAAAAATATTCAACAAAACATCGGAATTCAATTTGGTGATGAGGCACAACACATTTGAGAAGCAGAGTTTTGAAAAAATTTTCAATGGCAAATGTGCAACAATGGCAGAGCGGCTTCTTTGTTTTCCCATTAGGTGAATGAAACAATTCATGAAACGATTCCACAGTCATGAAAAAAAAAGTGCACGACAACTACTCAAGAATTTTAACATACCTTATAGTATTATCACTAGATCCAGAAACAACCAGCCGATCACGATACTGCAAACAAGCTATGCCTCTTTTATGGCCATTCAGTGTTCGCACAAACTCACAAGTATTAGCACTCCATACCTGAAACAAAAATGGATTGAAAAAGAATGAATGACAAAAGCAGAAACGCAACAAAATAACACTACCTTGATGGTTCGATCACCAGATGCCGATACTATGTAAGTTTTATCGAAATCAATAACATTAACGGCAGCGCGATGTCCAACTAAAATACGTCGCAAGTTGATTTCCTTTGCACTGACCATATCCCAAACCACTATTGAACGGTCTTTTGAGCTGTAACATGTAAACAAATACACATCATGCATCTGAAAATGTCTGCTCACTTCAGATCTCTTCAATACATACGACTGGAGGCATATGAAACTGATCAAAAACCTACAAGCGATTACCTACGCATCCGTGAATGCTTCCTCAACGCGCAATCGAATCACAATCAACATCAAATCAAGTTGTTTGAATTCAAAACAGTCATTCACGTCAAGAAAAAATCGTCCCTAACAAAGTAAAAAAACTGCATACAACTCACCAAGTGACCATCATTCCATTCTGGAATCGTAAATGCAAAACTGCTTCCGTATGATGAATAAGTGTGTGCAACTCTTCACCCGTATTCACATCCCATACTCTGCAACTATCATCAATATTAACCAGTTCAAGCCGTGCATGAAAGTGTGGGTGGAATGCTGAAGCGTTCTGATGGAAACTGAACATGATTCAAATCCTAAACTCATCAAATAGGATGCATCCGATCGCTGAAAGCCGGATTTATTTCTTCAACTCCACTGGTGCAGATATCGAATCAAATCAACGGATGAGAATGAATATAAGAACTGAACCTGACAGTGGTATCACTACTACCACTAACGATGATTCGATCATCAAATTGTAAACATAGCACAGATCCAGTATGCCCACGTAATGTTTGCATACACTGCAGATTATCTCTTTGCCACACTTTTATGGTATTGTCACGCAGTCCAGAAATGATTTTCTCGTGATCGTATTGAAGGCAATACACTCCTGAAATGCAAACTCAATAGACACTCCGAAATTTCCTGATTATATTTTAGCAGACGAATTCGCGTAAAAACAAGACTTATGAGTGCCACGATCGCGGTGAATGTCCAACCTTTGCTTTGCTCAGAGTGGCAATTAATCCTGCTCAATACGTAATTGCCCAGCTGCCAGTTCGTCTCCAGTGCCTCAATATCTTTCTCCATAATCGGATACAAATCTCTGTAGAACCTATGTTGCATTTCGATGGATTCCAACGAGCCCCTGAAAAGAAGTACCATTGATGAAACGTTTTGCGTATGCCATCAAATTAGCAAATTAAACCGACCATCCACATTGGGAATGATTTCTTTTAATTTTAAGAAACAACACAAATAATAATGATACAACCACAAGCACAGATTGAAAAGCAGAGGAAACTGCCAGTAAAATAAGTTACCTCAATTTTTCAGCCGACTCCTCTGTCCATCCTTTTTCACGATATATGAGTGAATGTGCACATTCTTTACTTATAAAAATGAATCGCATCCTGTAAGATAAGTTTTTTGCTCATAATTTCAAAACAAGAAATGCATCATTAACATCAAAATTTGCATTTAAATTCAGAAAGACGACAAAAAAGCAAGTTTCATCGAGAGCTGCAAAGAACAAAAGTGAATGTCAGATAAGCTAAAACTAAGTGAATGTTGCTATTACAATGCAAGGCAATCCAAAGAACGATTCGCTATATCATTAATGAAGAAACAACATTTATAGATAGCACTCACCATGCTCGCTTTTCGGCTATACCTCTCCAAACAGGATTTGAGCGAACCTTCCGTTCAATTAATTTACGCCATAACATTCGATGTGCAATTACCCTCCGCCATGAATGACTCACCTTCTCGCAACAACGTAACCAGCGTGCTTCCAAATGAGATAGAATCACTTCGGCAACATTCACTTCAACACCAAATGTCATATTCAGTATCAAATATGAATACAATTCGAATCTTACACGCACAACTTTCAACAGAATAAAACTGATGATCACCTCATATAGCCGTAGAAGTGAGTCAACGGTAATCAGCATAAATCCACTCAAAACTTTTCGGCAAAGGTGCTCCATTTCATAGACCACAAAATATCAATACAAAAAAAGGTGATGGAATATCGATATCCATTTATTCGCAGAAAGTAATAAATACAACATAATCAAAAGATCTCACTCGGTAAAAACGTGATAAAATCTCGCTGTAATATCGGTTTCAGGAAGTTATCGATTTGACCGTGTTGTGCGTGACACATACGCCCAATAAGTGTTTTCACAAAATCTACTTGTTCTGAATCGCTCCATGATGCGAACTGCTAAAAAAAAGATTACTCATTACCCATAATATCATATCACTGTAAACATACATAAAATATAACAACTATGAATTGTTTCATTCAGGCACTCAAGAGCAACAGCTCATCTGGAATAAAATGACACGCTATCAAAAATGAACCAAGACTGACTCAGTTTACTGTTTCGTCAACCATCATAAAACACTCCCTACCATAAAAGATTGGGCCAAATGAATTTTTATTTTATCCCGAAGCATTTTCTCTTTTTATTAACCACTACCGCAAAAAGGTTTTTGGAGCGGTTAGCTTATGCTTGATTTTACTATAAAATTTTATTTCGATCACTAACAAACGTTTCTATGACGGCGAATGATCAAAAGAATAGCAATGAGATTCAAAAAANTATTGGTATTGCAAAACAAAATTGGTATCTCCCTACTTCATCGAAGTTTGTCAGTCAAAGCACATACTGTTATCAAAGTATCGAATCGAAAACTGAGAAGATGATATTTAAAGATGAGAAGATTATGCGAGAGGCGTAAACGGCGTTTCAAAAGAGATGAACATAAATCAGAACATACATGCTCACATAAACACACGAATAAATAAAGATTTCACCAACTTCGAATGCGACGTTACGACTTGATAGGTATCCTTCACTAAGTGCCATTTTTCGTCGTTCCACCAACGACAAATCGGCCAACATATCCATTGTTGATGCACCCTTTAATCAAAATAAACATAAATTCCTTCAATCGTCCATATTATCACCATGCAGTCATAAACTGTTATTCTCTATATTCGTAAGAATGTGCGTCTATAATTCACTCCTTACTACTAATACAAGCTTTCCACTCGTTTGTTGAAGTTACAACTACAGAAATATGACAGTATGCGGTATTTCCGTTTAAAAAGAAATGAAAAGTTACGACAACACAGCAAATCTATTTGCTTGCTTAAGTATTGGATGTGAGGCAGTAGTAAGAAAGTGACAAATCTTATGAATAAACAGAAAGCTGTCAAAAGCATTAAAATTATATAATACAATCCACTTAAATCATACAAGAAAATATTCCTATGGAACGCTATTACTTTTTTAGAACTATTTGAGTCACACTCAGTGAACCGATCTTAACTTTTTACACATTGAAATAAGGCAGACATTAACCCATACAACAAACCAATCGCATCATTTCATAAGTTAGCTGAAAGTGAAAGGATTGATAAGCAATTTGAGGCACTCAAACATTCGCCATTAAACCTATAAGGCAGTCGCATTTTCAGTGGAACAGAATTTTAAAACTTTGATTCGCCACAGCCACACTTAAGAACAAAATAAAAATAAGAAAATCTGCGAAACATACCAAATTTTCCAGTTCGGCCGTGCACCGATCATGATGTCGCATGTCACCGAGTGACATCGCTTCGTCATCCATTCTGTGATCAGATTTGTTTCGTTGCTGAATTACGGCAGACCCGAAGCAAACTGCCTACCGCAATAAAAAGCCGAGTCAAATAAAACTGCCCTTCGAACGCATTTGAATCGACGAGTAAAGAATCAAATGTTCGTACAAATCTAAACCGTAAAATAATTGATTTATACACACAGAGAAGTTCAAATGTATTCGCTGATCGCAAATGATACACAAAAATTACGCATATATCTCTCTCTAAATTAACACTTAAATGAAGAAAGTTTTGGTAAAATATCTAGAAATTGACGTTCCAACAGATCAAATCACCGTGATAAATTCGTAACCGCGGAGCTGAGAGAACAAAAGAAATGGCATAGATTGTACCGTGGATGTAAGTATAAGCTGGAAACAACTCAGATTTACTAACGAGCAAATGTTACTGTGAATATTAGAGGATAATTTTTGGAACGTTTGGGTGCATTTTAATGATTGTCGACGCGACAGACATGTAAATGACCTGCATACGCAAATACAAACCGATGAAAGTAGAAAATTAACCCCGTAAAATCGCAAATAACCTCTGAATCGTCCTCTAAAGGCTGAAGTTGAACTTGCTAAAACTGAAAGTGTTCAACTAAGATATTACGAGTATTCTGGCCTCCTAAAGGGCACAAATAAAATCCGAACACAATGAAGAAGTTCTTCTATTCATTCAATAGGGAAGCAACCAGAAATCATGCATAAAACAATCTCACAACCAAAAAAAAAACGCAACAACATTAGAAATGATCAAAGCAGAATCATATGGAAAGGAAGCTGATAGCAAGGAAACAAATCAAAGGATCAATGTTACGCGGAAAAAAGATGTGAAATAAATAAATTAATTAAAATGAGCGCAAAACGAAAGGATTTATGAAATGAAACGAGGCGTCTGCCAGACGTGGAACAACAACTGAGCACACAACAATTCCTTCCACCATTAAGCACTAACACGTAATTAATTAAAATTAATTAAGATACTACAAGCGCCCACACCAGAGAAGCTAGACAAAATGTGTTCAATTCAGATCTCTCAATGTAGCGACTGCGAACCTTTCCGAAATCTTCAGAGGAATTCATGTTGCCGAAAAAAGAACATTATTATTGTTAATTCCAATCATTCAGCTCGGATGGACTCTGAAAAGGCGTGAGTTTTATGTGCAATAGTAGACTAAGAGTGTTTAAATAACGGCCGCATGTCAAAAGAATCAGAGCTCTAAATCACAAGTTAAAAATACGACAAGTTAAGTTGGCACTTTTTTACTTTGGGGGGATCGCACGCGAGCAAGCTCGCGTACAATGCTAAAAACATACGCTCGCACACTACGAACGACGCTTTCACATGGACC